TTCCAGCACTGTTTCAAGCTGGCCACTTAGTTCCCAATCAGTGTCATTTACAAGGACTAGAACCCCAGGCCTCCTGCAACAAATACAAGTTATAAAAAGCTATCTTCTGTTTCCTCTTGGCTCGTGTAAGTGTGCAAGTATGTACGTGTTCAAACAAGATATGGGACAAGGAGGTGTCAACATAAATTGGCACTGTATATCCTACAGGATGAAAATAGCATGTTAGATTTCATAGAATCTTTACAAGAATAATCCTTTTTAGTTTTGTACTAAAGGATTACTGACTCGTATACTGCCTTAGCATCAAGTTGGTGCAAAGTTGTTGCATTTTCAACACATGTTCTACTTAGCATGATTGGCACTATATTTGATGGTGGCATCATTTCACTTAGCATGTTCCGCTATGCAGTAAGGTAAGCAGGATGGGTAAAAAGTTAATCCAACTTACACCGAGTCTCCTTTCATAAACATTTCAGGCCTCTCCTTGATCAAATTGGTGCGAACCCAAGTGAGCAAGTTTTTCATCGTCATCTGGTTAAGGAAAAGAATGAAAAAGGAATCACACAACTGCTCCCCTAGACAGATGAAAGTACACGCTTAATTTGATCTATGTATGAACAACATTTATTAGAGATGAAACTGCACCTGCTTCTCTCCATCTTGAGGGTCAACATTAATGTTATGGATCTTCACGGAATCACAAAGAAGTTCCAACCCTCCCCTGAGTTTTGGAAGTAAAAGCATAATTGGAAGATGTCAATAGAGGTCAGATGTGTATGGTAAGGCATTTTAAAAGAAAGTAGAAAAGAACACATAAAGGCTAATCAACGAGTGTCATACTGACAAGAAATGGCAATTCCTGAATATACTTTCAAGTAGTAGATATAAGGTCACGAAATTCTGTCCCACCATCACTAGATATGAGTTTCAAAATTTTATCCACATTTACACAACACAGATGTTAAGATGTTATCCTTGACACACTGCTAGGTCACTGAACAACTACAAATAGAAGTAACAAGGTAGAATCATAGGCAATAGTCACTGCACTATCCCATCATGTATAACAAGCATTTACAGAAGATGGTAAATGATACCACTCTGCTAACAATGACGTCCTTTTAAATTTTGGAGTCAAAACTCAAACATTCCAAGGTGTTGAACAAAATCATTATGCTGAAAAGCAACTTGCTACATCTTAAATCTGAAGAGTCAAGACCTCCAAGGGTTATTTATTAGAACAAATTCTTCTACATGTTACACATGTGTGAATGGATATTTAAAAACCGACTAAACCGACCGAACTGTACCGCACCGAATCGATTTTTAGGTTTCTTTTAAAAAAACCGTAAGTTTTTATCTAAACCTATAACCGTATCAATAACTAGGGTAGGTTTTTTATTTTATAAAAATACCGAACCGTACCGAATAAATTTTACATGTGGAAAATATATTTATACAGTAGGTTTAAAAATAATAAAGCATTACATTTTTCTTTGGACCTTGGAATTATGAAAATAGTTACAAGCAAACAAGTAATTTAACTCAAAATATTAATTACTAAAACCTATTATACTACTTCTACTTAAACTAAGTTATTTCCAGCATCTTCATTAGCAAGACACAACATATTTTAGTGATTATGAGTAGCAAACTACAATGCATTGAAGATGTTTCCTTTCATATAATTTAGATTTATCCTTTTGAATATTTAATCTTCTATAGACTTTATTATGAGTTTCTGCCTGGTTAATATCTTTCCACTCGTGTGATTTATATTTTCTTTGTCTTTGCTTGGTTTCTTTTACATTGTTGTAGAATAGTTGATGGATCAGTACTCTGCCATTTTTCATGTTTTTTTAGTTCATCACCCTTTAAACAATAAAAATGTTTAGAAAGATTTGCTAAGTCCTATTAAAGAACATATGTTATTGCATTCTAGTTCTACTGGTGACTTTTACATGACATTTAAAAAAATACCAAAAATTAACCGAACCAATATCGAAGAGAAACCGATATGATCGGGACGGTTTCGAAAAGTCTAATTGTGGTTATATATAATAGAATAACCGAAAAATTGGTATGGTACAAATTCTATAAAATAACGGGCTGAACCGAACCACTGACACCCCGACATATTAGAACAAAGTTCAAGTTATTCAAAAAAAAAATCAGCTAACCAACCCGAGAAAAAAGAAAGAGCTTGAACACTATGCAAATTCCATCTCTCAAGAGTTTCATGATTTGGACCCAATTTCCATTTTTCCATCATTAATATGCTCAGTTATTTGCAAATTGCCATTACTAATGTTCTTCCTGATTTTCATGAAGTACGTACGGACTTCGATTGTAAGATCCCAATTTGCTCCGGCAAAGGAATAAGTTACCTTTAGAACACCGTAAAAAGCTAACAGCAATGCAACACAATAGGTAATTCTTCTCAAGCAAATAGCAACTCATGGAGTAAGGGCTCTAGTTTGCAATATTCATCTAGTAAAAGACCAGCTAAATGGTGTATATAGCATAAAATTTACAACATCATTTAACTAAAGCTTCATAAAAAAGGCAGCTTTTTGTGACATCTAAAAATAAAAAATAAAAAGAGAATTCCTGTGTGAGACTAAATATTAAACTCAAATATCCCACTTTATGCATGAACAGCTGAAACTAATAGCTATAAGCTAATGAAATATAGCAAACATTATGCAGGCACTCAAACACGGTCCTCTTTAGTACAGCAAAAACAAGCACACAAATGATATTACAGAGGGAACGAAGATAGACTATATGAGTGTCTCCCATATTGCTCAATCAAGCAACTACAATTCGAAACTAGTCAGGTCAGATATTTGAATCCTCATCGTCCACAGTGGCGAAGCTACATTGTCCTAAGGATGGGAACACCCTTCGTCGAACCAATACACTGTGAATATAGGTAAAGTATTAGGTTTTAGAGGTATATAATATATATTCAACACCCTTTGTAGGTGAATTATTTTTACTTCTCTCAAATTGGACACCCTTAGGGAAATTCCTGACTTCACCATTGTTCGTCCATGCATTCATACTAATATGGCTATGTTACGGAGGAATAAGAATCAAATTTGGAGCAGTGACTTACTAATATCTAAGTGCTCTTGCTTGGGGTTTCGTTAGCCCTCAAAAATAATCCAAAGACACTAAGTGCCACTCTCTCAGTAGCACGGGAAAAACAAAGTAGTAAATCAAATACATAGGAAAGAGGCTGATTGTGTCAAGAATTAGCAAGAAACAGAAAACTGGAACATATATTGCAAACAAGATTAAATCTTTCAACAGTTTGTTTAGTCCCAAATGTCTTTAAGGCTTCCAAAATTCATAAATCGCCCATCCAAAAACCTTATATATCAACTTTCCCTTTTCAGCTAACCTGTAAAGGGTTTCAGCTAAAAATCTAATCTTGCAGAGATTACATCCCAGGATTGGAACAACTCTAATCAAATACTTGAAAATTAGCTGAATTTGGATGTACCATTAAAAGACGAAATATAGATTCGATACAACATATAAAAGAAAAATACTAAAAAATTACCCGAATTCGAGCGTCAACTGCATCTCTATTTGAGGTTTATGAAAAGATCAAAACCTTAGGAGGGAGATAGATGGACGACTTGATTTGTAGGGTTTATCGGGACGGTTGAAAGTTGAAGCAGACCGTCTTTTAGAGCTGTTTATTATTCTCGTAATCTTTTTCTCTTTCTTTTCTATTTCCTTGATTTTTCTTCCGATTAATCTAGATATTTCTCATTTCTTTCTTGTTTTCTTTTTTTCCACTTAGTATTTACACGTAAACCATGATATACATTATTTGACTCAAAATATATCGAAACTTTTTTTAACAAATCAATCAAATAAGATGAAGGGGTAAATCTTAGTTAGACATAATTAATTCAAGATCAAAGAGCTAATAGCGTAGATCACATATAGGATAAAAGAGATGTAAATGATCTTATTGAAATTCAATATTGTGTCTCCCATCGATCGATGGGGAGATAGCTTTAGATGTTCTTTTGTAGATTACTTCTTTCCGATCAAGAATACAAGAGGAGAGCTTGGGAGAGAGAAGGGGGAATAGTCCCCTTAATCGAAGATTTTCCCTTACTATATATAGTCAAGTCACTCTTGTCCTTTACTTGGGCCGACGCCCTCTTGCCTCCAATGTGTCTCGGTCGTCTCTTTAGGCGCTGCTTCTTCCGACTTGACGGATGTCGGAAAAGGGATGCAGAGTGGGCTATGCTATCTTTCACTGCCCAGTCACTTAGGCGGGACGTTGGTCAGTTCGATCGTGACAGTCAGATTTTGACCAATACAGTTAGCCCAGTCACTCAGGCGGGACGTTGGTCAGTTTGATCGTGACGGTCAGATTTTGACCAATACATACACATTCGTATATAAAATTTTAATTATTTAGTCGTGATAATTGTTTATACATTCTCGTCATTATAATAAATTATATAATTCAATATAAATATTTCCGTCTTTATGATCTATAATATATCAAACTAAAGTATTCCATACGTAATAATCCTTCCAATAGAATAAACTTTGTCATAAAACTAGAAAAGGCATGGGCGACAGAGTCTAAGGGAAGCTGGTAAATACATAAGTGAATTATGAGTTACATTAGGAGAGAAAGTAAATTTACAAGATTGTTTGTGCAGTGAAAAGCAAGTTCTGATAGTGTATGATGGAATAATATAAGGAGCAAGCAGGCAATATATCAAACTTATCAACTGCTCCTAATAGCTATGCAGTAAATATTTACATCAAATTAAGATACATCACTTAATTTTAATTAATTAATATTTATTCTTACTCTATTAAATTATTTAATTTATGAAAGAATCGAGTGGAGAAAAATATTTATTGTTGCTACGGTGTCATATTTCATCAATCACATTGCTTTGTTTAGTTTACCAAACTGGACAAAACAATTAGATTACATTAATATATATATCTATATATTTCTATACTATATTAAAAGTATGAAGACTCTTAGCGAAATGTCGTTCGTCATTTTTACCCTTTAAAAAATATAGTTCACATTGTGCAAAACAGTAATTTAGTTATTTTCCTAATTTTTAGGACTTCAAAATTAGTTAAAATTTTATTAAATGTACTAAATCTCCTTTTATTAATAAACTACAACTAATATTTATGAGTTTGTGATATTAATGAATTTGCTACTTCTATTCTTAAACAAAGAAAGTTCAATGTAAAATCTATATGAATATTAAAAATTTTAAACCTAGACCACCAAGGCTTCCAAAAATCCTACCAAATTTGGGGCTATTCACCTCAACAAAGGAAGTTTTTTTCTTTTTCCATTGATTCCAACAAATGACTCAATGTGATTTTTCATATATTAAGTTATTTATATTAGTTGATAATCTTTGAGAAATTATGATAAAAGCATATGGATTAACAAATATCCATACTTTTGGGATTTAATAATAGGCCGCACAAATAGTATTATTTTTCAAAAGATATATTTAAAGGATATTAATTTATAAATTCACGTGAAATCGATAGATCAAACAGTTATTTAGTTACGTAAAATTGAATGACCTTTTAACGTTAAAAACAAGCACTCATTTTATATCATTTATGTACTAAGAATAAATACATATTCTAATAAATTCCCGTTACCCGATATTATTATACTCTTTAATTCTACATCAAAATTCAGAAATACTTAATTAATAAAATATCACTAAACAAATGCACATCAAGTAATTCAAATGATATAATATCTAACTTTAGAGGAGACAAAGATATTATTATTACATCCTCATCATTTAATTTATGTATATCAAATATATTCTATTAAATAATTTCAAAATAAAGAAGAATCGGATAACTTTAATAACTCAATCAGAGGCACCAAAAACGGAACTCTAAAATCATCATCATTTAATTTTAAACTTTATTAGAACAATAATTAAAACTATAAATTGCACGTTAATCAGTAATTATATACTCATTTTCATCGTTTGCCCAAAATTATCATTTAAGTTTCCCTAATATTTCGAAGTTTTTTTATTAATTATATTTTGTATATTTAATCCTTACTTATTTGAATTGTATATAATTTTTGAATGTTAAATATGTTATATAAATTCTTTCCTTATTAGAATATGTAAACTTTTATTTTATAACTCAAACATAATTTTAATATAATATTTATCTAATTATTTTAAAATATATTATCATGATGGGGTACACAAGCAAAGCGCGTACTCTAGAGGTCGTTTGGTAAAGTGTGTTAGGGAAAATAATGCATGCATTAGCTTTGTGTATTAGTAATGTTTTGTTTGGTACACTTTTTCAACATATGTATAACTAATACAAGCATTAGTTATACACTTTATTTGGTATTATCCTATGTAAGATAGTTTGTTATTGGCAAGTTGGAAGTATTGTCTCAACAGGCACGAGATTGACTCAACAGGCACGAGACTGACTCAACAGGCACGAGATTGACTCAACAGGCACGAGATCCTAGAGTTAATTATTTTTAACAGAAAAATCAAATTTATTTGAATTTTAAATTCAAAATTCGAATAAATAGTCGTGTCTGTTTGTGAAACAAGACATCTTTTCTGAAAGGGTCTGTTGGTTGCCTATAAATACACAAGAATTCCAACGAAGTGTATATAGAAAATCACAAGTGTTACTGCAGGCTTTGTTGTATCCTGAAGAGAATCGTTTTGTATTTTCCCTAAATTAGTATACAGGCGATAACTCTTTAAGGACAGTCGATTTTCATGCCTCACAACCAATTTGATTATTTTATTTCTAACAATCTTAAAGAGTTATTCTGCTATGGAGAAATTGATGTTTGTTGTTAAGAATCCGAAGGAGTTCATCAAACTTGATCGCTTTGATGGAACGAACTTTACCCGTTGGAGAGACAAGATGATATTCTTGTTGTCCGCTCTCAATATCTACTATGTTCTTGATTCTGCCTTGCCTCTGATGCCTGAGCCCACAGTAGAAGATTCTGACGTAGTCAAGGAAGAAAGGAAGAAACGAGAACATGATGAACTGTTGTGTCGCGGCCATATTCTGAATACTTTGACAGATCGACTCTATGATCTTTACTACAATCTGAAGTCGCCAAGAGAGATTTGGACTGCTCTACAAACTGCATACCAGAATGAAAAACGAGGTATTGACAAATTCCTGGCTCTACAGTACTTTGAATTTAAAATATTTGATACTAGGCCTATAATGGATCAGATTCATGAACTGCAAATCTTAGTATCAAAACTAAGTGATCTTGAAGTTAAAATTCCTGATGCACTTCAAATAGGTGCTATTCTTTCGAAATTGCCTTCCTCTTGGAATGACTATAGAAAGAAAATCCCACATTCTATGGATCAAATGACTGTGGAACAATTTCGTACTCACATTCAAATTGAAAGTGAGACTCGTGCTATTAGTCAGCCTTCGAGTTCCGTAGTCAATTTTGTCAGTCAGAATGATTTAGGAAGTGGGAACAAACATCTGAAAGTTTCCAAAAAGTCTTATTTTAAAAAGAGAAAGAACTTTAGTTGTCATCATTGTGGAAAGAAAGGCCATATGATTCGGGACTGCAAATATAAAAAAGGCAGGAATAAATTTCAATGCAGGCAAAACCGAAAAGTCTGGAAAGATTAAAAAATCTGGAAATTCTGAAAAGACAAACTTAGTGGAAAATTCTGCCCAAGGACTGGTTGCCATGGTTTCTGCAATGCAAATTGGTATGGTCACAGAGTTGAATATGGCTACCGCTGCTACAAATACTCAAGACTGGTGGCTAGATTCGGGTGCTACTATTCATGTCTGTTATGACAAGAAGATGTTCAAGACATATGCAGAAGTGCAGGATTCTGAACAAGTCTTGATGGGAAACCATGTTGCGGCAGATGTTGCTGGAAAAGGAAGTATTGAGATTAACTTCACATCTGGCCAGAAGTTGACATTACTGAATGTGTACCATGTTCCTGATAAGAAGAAAAACTTAATGTCCGCTGCTTTGCTGTCAAAGAAAGGCTTCAAGATAGTTATTGAGTCTGATTATGTAATAGTGTCTAAGAATGGTGTTTTTGTTGGAAAAGGCTATAACTGTAATGGCATGTTCAAATTGAGTATTAATGAAATAAATTATGTTTCTGCTTACATCGTTGAGTCTGATTCTTATTTATGGCATGCTAGACTAGGACATTTAAATTTTGGCTCCTTGAATTATATGTCCAAAAATGGTTATATTTCATGTAAAACTCAACATATAAAATGTGAAATTTGCATACAAGCAAAGATGACAAAGAAACCATTTCGTAAAGTTGAAAGATCCACAGAACTATTAGATTTAATACATTCAGACTTGTGTGAATTAAATGGAGAATTAACTAGAGGAGGCAAAAGATATTTTATTACTTTTATAGACGACTTCTCTAGATTTACATATGTTTACCTACTTAGAACTAAGGACGAAGCTTTTCAAAAGTTTAAAGAATACAAGTCTGTTGTGGAAAATCAAAGGAGTAGGAAAATTAAAATTATTCGAAGTGATAGAGGCGGAGAATATTTTCCTAACGAATTTAATAAGTTCTGTGAAGAGCATGGCCTAATACATCAAATGAGTGCCCCTTATACTCCTCAACAAAATGGGTTAGCGGAAAGAAAAAATAGAACTTTGGTGGATATG